ATCTGATTTCACTGCACACTGTGTGCATCTCGCAGTGGGCTTTAGAAGGTGCAACAAGTACAGCCTACCTCAGTTCCTGGCTGGAGGACTTCTAGTATCATTCAGTCCTTCCTCCCCAGCCTGGCCCTTCCCTTTCATTAATTGGAATTCAGTCCTTTCAATCATGGAGACTTAGCATCAAATGTAGGCATTACCTAAGGCAATCTGCATACAATTGCAGTCTGCTAAGGAACACCCATTCCAAGAGACTGACAGCCACCCATCAAGGCATTTTGATATTTGTCAGTATATGTTAGTGAGCGCAATCTGAAAAGCGACCAATGCACTAAAAGGAACCACAAAACCTTTCTAACAGTATCATAAAACAAGGAGTGCAGCACTACATTAAATATTGGACCAAATAAACCTTTGTCACAAAGGTATAAGCAATAGAAATGAGTCCACTATAGTATATAATATGAATTCCTCAGTCCACAATGAGATTTCTGACACTGTAGGTATAATCCGGTTTTCTGTTGTGGCGATATGAATAGATTGCCTACTCACCAGAAACACAATGTTAATGCGCATATCTGGATCACATGCATCCTGGGGTTTCAGATAAAACAGCCAGGTGTTAGGATCCTCTGGTGGTCCCTCAATGGTGTGTGAGAAGGATACCGATCTGGTCTCAAAGTGCTTACTCCTCAGGTCTGCAGCAATGCCTGAAATACTCGGGCTGAGGTGTGGAGGCTCAGTGCCAGGTATGGAGAATAAAGGTGCTCATAGCGTAGTATTATAAACAATGAATTTATTGTGTTAAAATAAGAGCAATGTCGTACATACATAAATGACTGCATATAGTAAAAGGCTGCTGTGAGCAATAGTAAAAGCACCCAAAAAGCATTAACCAGTACACATCAAATGTGGGGCTGCCGGACCTTCTGATCCGGCGGCGTGACGTCAAGGCATGAAAGGGCTCCTCCTACACATACATATTTGCATAACTCCTGTCAAGAGCCGGACCACTGTTCGCATCAGGGCTGAAGACTCTAGGAAAGAGTAGTGAGATGTGATGTTTTCAGGAAGCTATGTACAAAGGGCTGATGGCCCCTTCCACCAGTCATCATCAGCTTGCATTGCATAGAAAAGCGGAAAGACCAGTGATGACCTCACTTACTCTAAAATAAGGTATATATTGAAAAATGTCCCCACAAAGTGAATCAAAATAACAAAGCAAATTAAACTTCAACTTTAATGCAGATGTAAATCCTGTCTGGGACTGAGTTTGCTAAAGCACGGTGTATCACACATATCATAAACAATTTCCATTTTTCAAATAAAATATTATGTTTACCTTTTTTTCAATGCTTTGTTGCAACTCTGTGCAGCTGATCTCCTGCAGCCTTTCCCTGTCTACATTATTATTATTATTATTATTATTATATAGGATTTATGTAGTACCAACAGTTTGCACAATGAAGGGGGACAGTACAATTGCAATGCAGTTCAATACAGAAGAAATAGGAGGGTCCTGCTAATGGAGCTTACAATCTAAAGGACTGTATCCTAGGATTCTTTGTAGGATGCCCATTCCTAGGTACAGCAGAAATAGTCTTGAATTACTGTATATTATTGAATTTTAAAAGGTTTTTTTTAATTAATATGATATATCTAAAGAACAGATTGTGTGGTTAGAATCATTCACATAGCAGACACCGTCACTTTGCCCATTCAGTGCTCCCATTCTCCCATTAAGATATACCCATGGATCCACACTGCCCCTGCAGGAGTACATCCTGAGTAAGCTCGAGTGTTGGATGTGTCAGGTGGATAATGACACTGCCCCCCATGTGACAGAGTTGGAAGGGTGATTATCCTCTTGGGCCTAAGGTGAAGGTCACATGCACCTCCATACCTCGAAGCCCTGCTCCATTAGAGTGATGAAAGGCAGGAAGGAAACATGGATGATGAGCAGAGTGGTTGGGCTATTAGGATGCACAATCACTTTTTTTTTTTTCTTTGGGAAAAGTGACATTGACATTTTAAGAGTTCACAAATTTTATCTGCGTATATTCTCACAAAATATACATAGAACAATGATTTTAAAACCTTAAAACAAATTTATTTGATGACTTACGTTAAAGTGGAACTGTGCTTCATTTTAGAATTTGCAAGTGGAACTTCTACTTAATCACTTGTTAGCAGGGTCTGACTTTCTCTAACGTCATGGTTAAGCCACCATCCAATGAGATTGCCTCGATGACTAGTAAAGGCACTCTTACCGAATAAGTGGATGGAAGTATGTGTAAGTCCTGCCCTGGTAACAAAGTGAAACTAAATCCATGGAACATGGAAGAGCCATTCTGTTTAATCTTATTTATTACAGGTACTTATATAGCTTTGTGAATTGTACGCAGCACTTTACATATACTGTATATTGTACATTCACATCACTCCCTAACGCTAAAGGAGTGTACAATTGAAGGTCCCTAACTCACATTCATACACACATACTAGGGCCAATTTAGACAGGATCCAATTAACCTGCCAGCATGTCTTTGGAGTGTGAGAGGAACCGGAATACACGGAGGAAACCCATGCAGGCACAGGGAGAACATATAAACTCCAAGCAGGTGGTGCCATGGTTGGGATTCAAGCCAACGACCCTAGTACTGCAAGGTGGAAGTGCTAACCTTATGGCAATAACAAGAATCTTGTGGATTTTGCTTTTTAGGCTCATTCACACATGAAGTCATGGGGGGGGGGGGGGCAGTAAAACCATGCACTTTTAATGCACCCCAACAGCTATACCCCTTGCCGCTGCACATGAATAGGGCTACTCAGCAAGTACCCTTCAACCGTGTACATTTGCAGTTGCAGTGCACTAGTGAAGCAATCAAGGGGTTATTATTTTGAAAGTGGAAGACCTGTGTGTGTGTGGATACATTCCAGGCACCATCCCCTAATTTGTCAACAATGTAAATAGGAAAAGAGTTTCCATTCCACCCGTAGGAAGACTGGAATGTGGGGATTTAAAATGTAGCAACAATACCAGTTTACATATAAGTAAAATACAGCTTTATTTGTACACGTTTCACATATAGGCTGCTTTCCCAGGATCTACTGGCTTGTATTATCTTGGGATATGGAAGCTGACAAACAATATAAATGGACAAAAAAATCACAAAGTATTCAAAGTCATATTCATACAATAGCCTAACCAAGGATGGGGGGGATCACACAGGAAAAACACATATAAAAGAAAACAGCATACAGCACATAATACAGTGACACCCCCCCTATGGTGGGGCCATCATATGACATTAAATACTTTGTGATATATTTGTCCATTTATATTGTTTGTCAGTTACTATATCCTAAGATGATACTAGCCAGTGGATCCTGAGGAAGCAAGCCTATGTTTGAAACGTGTTGATCCACTACGATTTATAGAATGTTTATTATACTTGGTGTTTCTGAGGGATATTGTTTTTAATTTTATTTTAATGTACAAATAAAGCTGTATTTTACTTTTATGTAACCTGGTATTGTTGGCACATTTAAAATCTCTACATTCCGGTTGTCCTATGGGTCGATTAGAAACGCTTTTCTTATTTACAGTCAAGGGGTTAAACCAGACGGTGAGGAGGCAATACAACGGCTCTTCTGCCGCCTGTCAAATGTTCTTTGAAGAGTGATCTTAGGCAGGATGTACACCGTTTTAAAGCTGAAATGCAATCAGCTTTTAAAAATTGTTGTCTAGTTGCCCACTTTCTTGTTTAGTCAAGGAATAAGGATTAAGGTGAAATACTTACCTTACTCCTCACTTCTGTAGGCTATCTCTCCCCTTGTACATCCACGATGCATTAGTGTTACAATGCAAACGTTTCCTTGGTGAAAACCACATCTAATTATTTGGCAGGTCCAGAGATATTTATGGGCAGCTGGAGTTACACCACAACTTTTCCTGTAAAAATCAGTCTTGGCCCCTCCACTTCCCAAGCTACCATTGTTGGTCAACAAGACTGTCCATCCCAAGTCAGGGCCAATAGGGAAGCTTAAAAAGCAAAATGTTAGTTGTCCATGTACAGATCATTTTAATATCCTATGTGCATTTTTTGATCATGTGCCTAGTGTCAGTTGCACAGGTGTGTGACAGATACACATTAAGCTCCTCATATTCACATATGTATCAGAAAAAAGGATATTTGGTAGTAATGTGCTTGCAACTGATTGCATTCGATCTACTTATTTGTTGCTTGCGTTTATTCCCTGAAGAATTTAATATGGCAGCTGTTTAGGATGAAAGCTCTTTTCTAGTTAGGTTTATTATCCCAGTGCCAGTGTGTGTTTTTTCTGAGGTGTACCAAAGAAGCAAGAGACAGCAATTTATTTTTAGACATCATTCAATGAGTGTAACATATTATTGAGATCAAAGATCTGTGGCTGTTGGAAGCTTCCTACTGACGCAAGGGATGAAAGAGGTCTTGTGATCCCGCATCAATACTAACTGGGCTTCACTTTCTAGCCCAAAGTAGGCCGTTTATACTGACAGAGTTCAGGAAAAGGGTACCTAAATAATAAAATGCATCAAAGTGCAACAAAATGCACTACTGAAAATGTGTATTATATCCTGCTTGTTGCTTCCATGCATCTGCATAGCACAACCTGAATCGACAATGAGCCCCTTATATCAACTTCACCTGAAATTCCTAGTTCTACCACTGGCTGCATTCACAATAAGGCCTTTTTCCCTGGTCCCGTTACATTCTCTGTACCTTAAAATATTTGGAGCATTTGGTGGTTAAAAAAGTGACCTGCTTGTAATGATCATAGTCTTTGCAAGGCTGCTTTCACACTGAGCCATTTTTCTTCTACTTTGTGTTTAAAAAAGTGAAAGAAAAACTTGTGACCATGTATTCCTATGGAACTCTTTACACTGATCCATTGTGGGTCAGGTGCATTTTTTTTTAAAAATCCTGCGTGTTGCATTTTTGGTTCAGGTTTGGTGTGGGAAAAATGCAACTCTCCATTGAAATAATTGATAAGGTAACCACATATTGACCAGATAACGTGTGTGTGTATACACGCTATATTGCCAAAAGTATTGGGACACCACTGCAAATCATTGGATTCAGGTGTTCTAATCGCCTCCATGGCCACATATGTATAAAATCAACCACCTAGGCATGCAGACTGCTTCTACAAACATGAGTGAAAGAATGGGTCGCTCTCAGGAGCTCAGTGAATTCAAGCATGGTACCGTGATAGGTTGCCATCTGTGTAATAAGTCCATCTGTGAAATTTCCTTGCTACTAAATATTCCACGGTCAACTGTTAGTGGTATTATAACAAAGTAGAAGCAACTGGGAACAATGGCAAAATGACATAGTGGGGTCAGGGCATACTGAAGAGCACAGTGAGCAGAAATCGCCAACTGTCTGCAGAGTCAATAGCAAAAGACCTCCAAATTTTATGTGGGCTTCAGATTTGCATGACAACTGTGCATAGAGAGCTTCATGAATAGGGTTTACATGGCTGATCATCTGCATCCAACCTTTATATCACCAAGTGCAATGCAAAGCGTTGAATCCAGTGGTGTAAAGCACGCCATCGCTAGACTCTAGAGCAATGGAGATGTGTTATCTGGAGTGACGAATCACGCTTCTCTGTCTGGCAATCCAATGGCAGTTTCTGGGTTTGGCAGTTACCAGCAGAATGGTACTTGCCTGACTGCATTGTGCCAAGTGTAAAGTTTGGTGGAGGGGGGATTATGGTGTGTGGTTGTTTTTCAGGGGTTTGGCTCGGCCCCTTAGTTCCAGTGAAGGGAACATACCAAGACATTTTGGACAATTTTATGCTCCCAACTGTGTGGGAGCAATTTGAGGATGGCCCCTTCCTGTTCCATCATGACTGTGCACTAGTGCACAAAGCAAGGTCCATAAAGACCTGGGTGAGCAAGTTTTGGGGTGGAGGAACTTGACTGCCCTGCACAGAGTACTGACCTCAACCCGATTAGAACACCTTTGGGATGAATTAGAGCAGAGACTGTGAGCCAGGCCTTCTCGTCCGACATTAGTGCCTGACCTTATAAATACGCTTCTAGAAGACTGGTTAAAACATTCCCATAAACACACTCCTAAACCTTGTGGACAGGCTTCCCAGAAGAGTTGAAGCTGTTATAACTGCAAAGGTTGGGCCAACTCAATATTGAACCCTACGGAATAAGACTGGGATGCCATTAAAGTTCATGTGCTATTAAAGGCAGGCATCCCAATACGTTTGACAATATAGTGTGAAAAAAACCATCTTACCCTCCAGAAGACTCCTGGAATGTATGACATAATTTGCCTAGGAATGAAAACCAGGAAGTAACCAAAGAAACATTAAAATTAGTTTTAAACAAGTAAACATGATATACTTTCCTATTTACTAATTGTTTTGGCTTTGCATACATTTTAAGGGTCTAGAGTCATTCCTACACACACTGGAGTAATTTTTTTTTCATAGGTAAGCCTTCACATTTATGATAATTGAAGACCAAATATTTAAGTTCTTGCCTGTTTTAAAATACAATTTATATAATAAAACAAATAATGCAATTATCTAGTCCTTAAAAATGATTTAATATATATTTTGATTTTATTTAATTTTTACAAGTAATGTGAAATAGACAGCATATACATCAATAACACTCAATGGTATAGAACAGCCTTTCTCAGTCTTTTTATCCCAGAGGAACCCTTGAAATAATTTTCAGGTCTTAGGGAATCCTTGCTAAAACCAATTTATTGGTGGTTAGTGGGAAGAATGCTCCTTACATTGGTGGTCAGTGGGGAGAATGTAACCCTTACAGTGGTGGTCAGTGGGAAGAATGTAACCCTTACAGTAGCGGTCAGTGTTCAACCCCTACGAACAGCTAAAAGATCACTAGCTTCAAGCAACTGGCTCTACCAAGTAGCGTTTCCTTGAGACTATGCAGCCACCATCAAATAGGGAGGTCAATCCCTGGTTGAGAATAACTGTTCTAGAGAATGAAGACATTATGCACATAGAGGTATAGATAACAATCAAAGCATACTATATATATATATATATATATATATATATACACAGTGCTCCACATAAATGTGTACACCCCAATCGATTTGTCAAAAAAACTTTACTTTCCTTTCAGAATCAACATTTTCTGTGGGACACTATAGTACAAAATACTCCCACCATTGTGGGCCAGTGATTGCAAACAAGATTTGTTAATTTGCACACACAAAAAAGTATTTTTCCTAACAAATTCTTTCAAGACCATTTTGCAAAAATGAATACACCCCAATGAAAGTCTTAGGAGCAAAACTAAATTTTAGACAACAAGATCCTAATTCATAGGAATTCAACTACAGGTGAGTCTAATTATTAATTAAACAGGAATCCAGCAGAGAGTTGATTATAAAGGGCGTTCCTTTAGAAGAAAACCCCTTCCCATTTTGTGCTGTCAGCAATGGCACCACATGGAAGAGAAATGTCACAAGGCCTGAGAGAGAAAATAATTTCTTTTCACAAGAAAGGTGAAGGCTACAAGAAGATCAGCAACGTTTTGCTTATCAGTCAGAATACTGTAGCAAAAGTGATATAAAAATGTAACAAAGGTGGAACTGCAACTATTTCTCAGCGACGTCCAGGCTGTCCATGGGAGTTAACACCTCGACAGGAGTGTCTTTTGATGAGCAGGTTTGAAAAAAATTGCTATGCAAGTTCACTGCAGTTAGCTAAAGAAGTAGAAAGCCAAACTGAAATGATTGTTTCTCGTGACACAATATGGCTTACACTGCATAGCATAACATGCATGGGTGTCATCCATGAAGGAAGCCTCTACTAAAGCTCATGCACAAAAAAGCCCACCTGGAATTTGCCAAGGCCCAGGCGGAAAAAGAAGAAGATTACTGGGACTCTGGGACTCTGTATTCTGGAGCAATGAGGGCAAGATAAATATTTTAGGAACTGATGGCTTCAAAACTGTACAGTATGGCATCGCAAAGGTGAGGAGTACAAAAAAAATGCATGGTGCCCACAGTGACACATGGTGGTGGCAGTGTCCTTCTGTGGGGCTGCATGAGTGCTGCTGGTGTTGGGCAGCTGCATTTAATTGATGGTATCATGAATTCACAGATGTACTGCTCTATATTGAAAGAGAGGATGCTACCATCACTCTGTGTCCTTGGTCATTGTGCACTTTTCCACCATGACAATGATACAAAATCTAAGGCTACTGTTACATTTCTGAAGAAGAACAGGGTGAAAGTGATTAAGTGGCCAAGTATGTCTCCTGATCTGAACTAAATCGAAGACCTATGGGGAATTTTGAAGTTTAGCATCACTCTCTATCCAGCATCCAGGCTTTAAAAGAGGTCGTTCATGAAGAATGGAAAAAGATAGAGGTTGCAATATGTCGCCAACTTGTTCATTCCATGCTTAGAAGACTTGTTGCCGACCTTACAAATCATGGAGGTCATACAAAATACTAGATGTAGTAGTTTTTGTTGTGGGGTGTATTCATTTTTGCATCAACTAATTTGAGGTAAACCGAAGATTTTGTAATCTAAGTTATATTAGTAACCTTACTTTCATGTAATGAGCTAAACAAATGTTATAAAGAACTCGGTTTGGTCAAAATGTTTTAAATAGTTCTTGTTTTCATTGAGATATTGATTAAAATCTTACTTTTCAAAAGAGGTATACTCATTTATGCTGAGCAGTGTGTGTGTTTTTGTGTGTGTATGTATGTATGTATGTATATGTGTGTATGTGTGTGTGTGTGTGTGTGTATGTGTATATCTATCTATCTATATATATATATATATATATATATATATGTATACACACACATAGAGATAGAGAGAGATTGTGTATGACATTCACATATCAACTACTAAACAATACAAAAAAAGAGAAATTTCAAAAGTGGAGATATAGCATTAAACACCTGTCATCTGGTACAGATCTACTCCATTGTGTCAGCAGAAAATAATCTATACTACAAATACAATACAAAGTATAAAATCAGGTCATGGGGAGATTGGACAGGGTAAACTTAGGCCCTGTTCATATATGGGGTTTTGGGATCTCAGGCAGAATTGTTGTGATTCTGCTGCAATCTAAATCATGCTGCAATAGTGACAAAACATACCACGTGTTTTGGTTCTGTTCATTTTCAAGGGCACCTAATGCATTGCGGTTCTGCCGTGATTGCTGCACAATAAATCATGCTGCTATCTCGGCAAACCTCATTGTGTGAAGCCTACCTCCCAAAAAAGAGCAAGAGTTTTGTTAGGATGACAAGCTTTGTGCGACGCAGTTTGCCGTGATTTCAGAACAATTTTTTTGCGCAGCAGAACCAATGCGGATAGGTGCCATTGAAAATGATTGGCACCTGAACATGCATTATGCACTTTTCCCCTATTGCAGTGAGATTTGAGATCGCAGGCAGAATCACAGCGATTCTACCAGAGACCCTAAAACGCCAGATGTGAACAAGGTTTTTAACTGTAGTGTAGAAAAGTGAGGCCACCAAGCCAGAAGTGCTTGGATTCAAAGTCTGGCTGAATAGCATTAAAAGCTCTTTTGTGGGTAGAACACATACACTGATCAGCCATAACGTTATGACCACCCAGCTAATATTGGGTAGATCCCCCTTTTGCCAACAAAACAGCTTTGACCCATCAAGCATGGACTCCACTAGATCTCTGTAGGTATGCTGTGGTATCTGGCACTAAGCTTTCAGTAGCAGATCCTTTAGGTCCTGTAAGTTATGAAGTGGGGCCTCCATGGATCTGATGTGTTTTTCCAGCACATTCCACAGATGCTCGATTGGACTGAGATCGGGAGAATTTGGAGGTGAAGTTAACACTTCAAACTCAAACTGTTTTGTTTTTTTTTTTTTTGCAATACTGTTTCCATCTCTCTTTTCCAGGTAACAGACGCACATGTATCCAACCATCCACATGATCTAAAAAAAAATATGATTTATCAAACCAGGCCATCGTCTTCCATTGCTCCGTGGTCCAGTTATGATGCTCACACTGTAGCCACTTTTGGTTGTGTACATGTGTCAGCATGGGCACCCTGGCTGGTCTGCGGCTATGGGGCCCAATACACCACAAACCGTGATGTCCATTTTTTCTGCTTTCCACACATCAACATCAGGGAGAATATGTTTACTTGTTGCTTAATATATCACACCAACTTTCAGATGCCATTGTAACCAGATAATCAGTGCTATTCACTTAACCTGTCAGTGGTTATAAAGTTATGGCTGATCAGTGTATTTGAATTGCAAGTGTGAATTTGGCTGCCTGCTTGGAGATCTGAGTTAAGCAGCAAAAAAGAGAAATGTCAGTCTTTAAATATGCATAATACAGAAACACTCAATTTTTT